GAGTTAGTGTTAACTTGAGACTTTAGCAAGAATGAGTCCCAGCTCTGACGATGTTCGTCACATGACGGACGAAAGCTCAACCCGTATTCGCTCTAAACGTTGGAGGATGTCTCGTGGACTGCATCAACCTGAACGTCGTATTAAGGCCAAATGGCTGCAGTAAAACGCGAATCAGCCAACGTCTTCTGGTGAGATTGCCCTAAAAATCTTTTCATACTATTCGCCCAAACGAAATGAAAGAATTCACATCAATACTTTAACAAAATTAGGACGAATCGCTAGGCATAATAAGTATATTACTCGTAGCAACTAAGAGCGTATGCTTAGATTTGTTACTAAATTCTATTTTACGTGCTATCCAGTTTTTTCTTGTCCAAAAATTCAGCAGTTTCTGTTTAAATCAAGGCGAGTTGATGTTACTCGCGAAACAAACAAGAGATGTCTTGAATGAGAAAGTACCTTTAAGACACAAAGTAGGTTACAAATTACTGATTGTATGGATGACCTAGTTCAACTCGCAGTAGTTATTTCAAGAACCAGTCCTTGGAACGCGAAAGCCTAGGGTCATGGTACAATGCGACTCAGTTTTATCAATGATTTTGGTGTACTTTAGTTGTATCTTTAACAAGTGTAACGTTTTAAATGCATTATTCGGGTACTCTCGTAAGCCGTTTAAAACATTTATATATATAAAAGAATTAACCGTTAGTAATAGACTTATCGTGCGAGCAGCACCATGAGAATTTCTAAATGTTTAATAATAACAGTCAATTGCGGCATTTGTCCTACTGTTTATTGCCTAGCCATAAGCTGCCAATACACAGTAAAGTAGCTTAGGTAGCAAACATCTAAGAGTTCTCAAAAATTGAGATGAGATTAATTTTTTAGTGATTAATTTATAATGCACATATGTCTTGAAAAATATGTCTGATATCCATATACGTGGAAAATAATCAATTTTATTATAAAGCTGTGAAACCTGGTCACATATAAAATAGGAAAAAAAAAGTATTTTGTTTCCCTCTGCCATCAATCATCCGTCTGTTGATAAGATATGCCGTTTGTCTTACATATCAATATATCTATTTATATAATCATGTAAAATCTCCTAAGAAGATTATGCTATTCTATTCCATCGTCAATTTCTTGTAACTTTCAGACTTAGAGTAAATGGATTCCGAGCAAAACTGAAATAATGTCAGCATGAATTATGGGGTTGTCTAATCGAATTGTGATAGCCATCTCGAATTATGAGCCTGGTCTTAAAGAACATATAGTCAGAGGACTTTAAAATTATATCAGCTGGCAAGGGAACTGTTTCTAGATATTTAAATAGAGAAGAAAGCTTTGCCTTAAAGTTTAAATTGCAGTCGGAAAATTCATGCTTGAGGTTGAATAAAAAAATTTGGTTATCTGAGTTTGATGTAAATGTCGATTGGTTTCAATCCAAATTTAACTAAAAAATGAACACAGTGTGTTCGCTAAATAAACTTAGTTGGCGCATGCTGATTAATTTATTATTCTAAGTCTCTTAAGATAACATTGTTGGGGAGATTTTCATTTGGTATTAAAGTGCACAATGAAGTGATTCGTTGGTTGATCTCACCGGACGACGAAAGTCACTGCCCGTTGTTCTGTAGTCGTTCATACTGACCTAGTGTTAACTTAAGACTTTTACAAGAATTAGTTGCAGCTCTGGGCATGTTCATCACATGTTTGACGATGGCACAGCCTCGTTCCACCCGAGACGAGAAAGGATGTCTCATGGACTGGGTCAGCACGAATATCGTATTAAGGTCAAACGGCTGCAGAACAACTGGAATCAGCCATCGTCTCCTAATGAGGGCAACCAACGAATATCTTCATAACCTATTTTCATACGAAATGAAAGTCTCCCTAAAAGTATCAAATATTCATAGAATGGAATATAGTAAGAGGATAAGCGGATATAAGCAGCCAAAACATCATTTAAATTAATATGTAGTGTACTTTGATACTACCGTTAAAAGTTGAATGTGAACCGAATTCCTTAAAGTTCATATAAGGTTACGAAGTAACAACGGTTGAATTTTCCGTAGATATTCAGAAATCTGATTACCAGGAGTCCTTTAATAGATTGATGATAGTCCCTTATATTTTTGAAGGAGAAAATGGAAAGGATTCATAAGTTGCTTCCATCTCCAAGTCCTTGCAGATGTGACTGTAGCTTTGTGTAAGTCTTCGACTAATCTCCCCGCGACCCCGATGACTCCTTGGTGAGCTTTTGTTCGCCATAAGACGGAGATCGTCAGATCGGGGCACCATGTTTTACGATAATTCCACACATCTCCTTTTTGTAGCCAAAGGGACATGTGGCCGCTTATCATACAAATAGGTAGGGTTACAGCCGGTCATCTTTCTTTCCTTCGTGTTTTGGTGAATTCTCCAAGAAGCATGGTTTTCTGCTCTGACGATGTCAGTCACATGATGGACGAAAGCTCAGCAAAGAGCCTTCGCGATTGCTGAAGGGTGAGCTGAGAACGTATTCGCAAAAATCCAGTCACAGCTCCAAGACAAACTCCCTTCGACTTCCGGTGAGACCAAATTACGAATCCTTTCAGCTCGCTTCTTCCAACAAAATGCAAGGTACCCAAGAATCAGTCGAAGTTTCCTAAAACGCTTTGAGTCGGCTTCACGATACGATTGAATTTCATCAAGAATTTTATACCAGATGGAGCTGCAGCTTCGACCTCCGATGGTAACATGCTTATACATGCTTACAAACTCATATCTCATTATCTCAATCATACTTGCTTACGGACTTACGCAGCCTCGGTCAGGGCTTTCTTTGAGGTCATTAGGCGTTGATGATCAGAGCCTAACTTTAACCTTTTGATAACTTTAAACCCCTCTATATCCATCTAGGTTTTTAATTTTTAATTTCTTTTGGCTTAGCTTAGTCTATATAAAAGGTAAGAAAAAGCCGGATAGTTTTCTTAGCCTAAGGTTAACATTAGACTTTTACAAGAATGACACCCAGCTCTGACGATGTCCATCATATGATGGACGAAAGCTCAGCACG